GGGGGAGAGGATAAACTATTTCTCTGCAACATCAGGACCAAATGCTCAGCTGTCTCCTGATTTTTTTTTCAAAGACATTTTTTTTTTGGATGTACCGAACCGGAGCGGGCTGGTGTTTCCCTTAGAGCACGCCGTCCCGGAGCGGGGAAGGATGCGCGGGCGACGCCTGGCAGTTCTGCTCACGCACCAGGCAAGCGGTGAACGTGTTACTTAGTCTTCAGTCTTGGTTTTAGCGGTTCCCATCAGGGTGGCTGGCTCAGGTTTGAGAGACATCACCGCGCTCCACTCGCCTGGTACAAAACCAGATTCTTACTTTTATTTCTGTAACAGACAGTTTTCACTTTACAAATATTTATAAGGTTCCAAGGTACCACAATAGCTGGGAGGATATTTCCAGCTTTTGGCTGCAGCTGCTTTTCCCTTCCACTCAGTGAATATTATTTTGAGAACACAAACATCCTCACATACAAAAAAATCTGTAACAAATCCACCCAACCCTACCGCTGGGACCAAGCTCTCGCCGTCTGTAAATGAAGACTAATATTGCAGCGTGGCCAGAAGGTTGCTGTAGGCTCTGCAGCACATTTTTATTCTTCCTAGAGAAAAAGCAATGAAGGTTTCCTCACGGGCTGAGCCCTGCGTAACGCTCCCAGCTCCCGGGGTCTTTCTGTGCTGCTGCAGAGCACAGTCCTGCTCTTGTCTCCCAGCTGCCTTCCCTGTTATCCACGCCCAGGGCAGAAGAGCAGCTTTTCAAATGTTTTTCTTGGTTTTATCACAATAAGATGGTGACACATACTTAGAAAGCCTGAAGATAAGGCCTGGAAATGCAGACATATGGAAAATATACAGTTAAAGTATATTTCGCTAAGGAGTTTTCCCTGAATCGGTAAACTTGTGGGGTTTAATCTTACTCTAGGTTTGAAGCCTGAGCCTACAATCCCGCTTTCCTGTGTCATTCTGAGCCGGCATCATACGCACACGTCGTCCTGAGGCAGAAAGAAGAAACGCGTTTCGTTTTCCTCCAGTCTTCAAATCACCCCAATGCCCCAGGAGGAAGGAGGTGGCACCTTGCAGACAGGACACTCGAAGTGAGACCAGGTAACACGGCAGTGTGGCACCTGCCTTTTGACCAGCGTGGGCGGCGATGCTGTCCCAAAGGGCGCGTGCAGCGGGACAGCTTCTGGGTTTATTTACTGCTTTGACCCTCATGGATTAAAAAAAATCCCTGAAGGAAGGGAAAGAAACCACGGAGGGGATCATTACAAACTCTCAGAAGAGTCGGGGAGGAGTTTGGGCTCGGGCCCTGGCCCCCACCACGTGAGGCTCATTAACCTTCCTCTGCTCGGCGCTGACATGGAAAGGGGGAACTTCCATCTGTGCTGAGGCACGGGCGGGAAAGAAGCCCCACGAGTGTGCAAGTCATGTTTAATGGGATGCCAGGGTTTGGAACGGATTGTACCTGAGGTTCATTAGAGCAATTATAATCATTTAAAGGTTGCTTCTGGTGTGCATCCCTTGACAAAATGGTGGGCAGCAAACTAACATTGATCCTTTAAATAGACGAAAGGTAGGTGAAAAGGCAGTTAAACTTCCTTAGAAACGTTTCATCGTTCGTCTCATTCCTTGAACTACGCTGGGCATTGCAATGACGTGATAAACTAAACGCTGTTTAGAGGTGGGCAGGCTGGAGGACCCTGCAACCAGCTGTGGAGACCAGGGGCGGGGGGAAGGCAGTAGGTTTGCAGTCTCTTTTTCCTGCTGCTTAGTTACTCCCTTGCTATAAGCATTTGTTTGACTCTTCCACGTATATATACATATTTCAATGATCTTTCATTCCCTCATCACAAAAACACTTCATTGCACCTTACACAATGAAGGGGTTCACAGATAAAATAGGAATATTTAATTAAGAAGCTCCTGTTAGGACAAATTATGGACTGAAACATTTAAGAGAATACACATCAAGAAAACACAATCCCAGTTTTTTGTCTTTACTTCATTTTGAAATGAAATAGCGTAATTAAGTAATGAAATTGAGTAGATAAAATGTCTGAACCACTCTGACTCCCAGGTGAACACCAGGTAACAGGGATCTTAGCAACATCAGAGAAAAACGTATTTCAATCAATCTTCACCGATAGCTTTCTGCACATACCTATCTCTTCAAATGTGTTTAGCATTTTCATCATTTGAAACGCAGATAGTCTACTGTGTATCATAAAATACATTTAGAAGTTGCTTACACTGAGCACAGATGTCCACCTCAAAGCACAGCGGCCACAGCTGCCCCTGTTTGAAGCATCCAGGCTTTGTCTTGCCAAAGTATCTCTAGTTTAAGGCTTGGAATTAAGGTTAAGCCCAGACCCTGTGAGAACAACCAGATCAGAGAAGCAGACTTGCAAGTTTTGGGTGCTCTGCTCTGGGTGCCCCTTCCCACACGCATGGCAAGTTGTGGCCAGGCAGGACATCCCAAGGTGAGAAGCTCCATGTGCTGCTGCCGTTCCTCACACTACAGTTAAGAAAATTCCTGAGGTACCTTAAAAATCAGGATTATTTTAGCAACATTAATAGAATTCCCCTGTGAAACAAGCCCAACTTCTTATTTTAGAACCTGGGAGAAAGCTGACCCACAGACCTTTGAAGATCTTTGATATCTATGAAGCATCCAAAAGCCACTGTTAACACCAGGATTAAAACTCACATTTTCTGTATTCAAGCCCCTGCTTGATTTGTTGGCTGCTCCTACAAAGAGGTTTCCCTCTAAAACTGGGATTTTTTTTTTCCTCACCTGTGTAGCCTTCAGCCACAAGGTTCAAACCACCCCTCCAGAGAATGAGAAACATCGTATTTGCGTAGAAATTTTATTCCGAAAACAAAACTCAGCACATTGCTTTGACAAGACTATGCAAAATACAGAATAAAATAAAATAAGGGAAAAAACTGAGGCACTACCATTTTTCTTCTTAGCCTGGGACCTGTCTCTGTGTGTACAACATGGAAGGATACCTCATGAAATCAGGGAGTGAACAGGTTTCCATTTTAGGTTTATTGACTTTTTTTTTCCTTTTTAAACATAAAACAGAACCTAGGAGCAAAACTCAGACTTGGAGAGCTGCAGTCTCAGCTCATCCTTGGTTTATGGAACGAGCGCGGGGCAGAACTTTGCTGGAATCGGGATTACAACCAAAGAAAAGCCACTGCAGTAAGGGAAGGAAGAACCTATACCCAATCCTCATTACAGGGAGAAGTTTCCCTCATTATTTCAAGTCCCCTTCCCAATTCCAGCTTGCCTTCCATTCACATCCCCCTGGTTTCTCCTTCAGCCTCTGCTGCTTGCACCTACCTCTTTTTGGATGGATTGTCAGACGGAAATCTTTTTGTCATTTGTACCCTGTTCAACAACTTTTTATTTCTTAAAATAAAAAGTGTTTGTGATCAGCACCTCCCTTTACCTCCACAGCCTGGGTATCACCTCCAATCCCTGTGGCCTCCTCTGCAAAAGGCTTGAACGAATGAACGCTGCCACTAAACTGCTGAATGCAACTCCCCGGTTCCTCCGGCCCCAGCTCCCTCTTGCTGCTTCCAGCTCTCTGCTCTCCTCATATGTTACTACTGCTGCGCAGGAAGACGCTTACCTGATTCACTAACCTAGCCTTTGTTGGGAAGCACTTTAGCAGCATCCTTCCTAGCACTAACACGCAGGACAGAAAGACGACCGTTTGTTATTAGCCTAAAATTCCTGGTTGAGCATTAAAAAAAAAACCAATCCCAGGGGTTTGTGGCCGGCCAGCCTGGCTACTTTCCTTTTTTGGTCTTTGTGGTGTTGTTGGTCTTGGCTTTCTTCTTTGCTGACCCCTTGGTCTCCGGCTCTTTGCGCTTGGCTGACGTGATGGAGCCCGTCACCTTGAAGAAGTCGTCCAGCCGGCCCTGCGTGCTGCCCTGACGGCTTTTGCTCAGCCTTTTCACCCCGTTGCGGATCCGCTCTTCGTTGAACTGTTTCTCTCCGCACATGAACTGGACGAGCTGCTCTTCATTCGGCTCGGTCCACTTGAGCTCAACGGCGTCGGGGTTGACCACATCAGGCTCTAGAAAGAGCTTCTGGGCCTCTTTGTGCAACCAGTTCTCAGGCAAAGGGTACTTCTTGGTGTCTATCTGCTGAACGATCTTCTCAATGGTTTTGTGCTCCTTGATGAGCTCGATGGCACGCTTGGGCCCAATGCCACGGATGCTCTCGCAGTAGTCGCAGCCCAGGAGGATACACAGATCCACAAACTGTTCCCAGGTCAGGTCTAGATCCTGCAGAATACGATTCAGGTGGAACTCCTGGATGGGCAGCTTCTTCGTCTCGCTGGCAGTAAGATGCCGCATCAGTACGGGACTGCCGAAGGTCAGGCAATCCATATCTTCCGTGGCGGCCGCGTAGACCTTCCCAGCCTTCACCAAGGTAGCGCAGCTGGCTTCGGCCTCCCCCGGCGCCTCCACATAGGGGATGCCCATCAGCGTTAGTAACTTCTTGCACTCATCAGTGTGCTGCTGGGTCACCTTGACCAACCTCTTGCTGTACTTCTCAATGTTGTTCTCCTCTCCGGCTTCCTGAGCCTCCTGCAGGTGTTTCTCGGCCTCAGCCCGCCGCTCAGTCCGCTTTGCCAGCTCCCCCGATTTCAGCTGCGGGGGCTTGCCGTCAAAGACGTAAACCGGTTTGATGCCGTTCTCCACCATGCGGATGGTCCGGTAGAACATGCCCATCAGGTGGCTTGTGGTCTCGCCCTCCTCGTTCTGAAGGACTTCAGCTCCCTGCCGCACGGCGATCAGGAACTGGTAGATGCTCATGGACGCATCTATAGCGACCTTCCGTCCAAAGTAAGATTTGATGTCATTCTCCCGGATGGCGCCAGGAGCCACGTCGGCAATCAGCTTGGCCAGGCCGTGGATTCCCATCCTGGGGGGACAGAAAAGGGGATGCTGGGATCAGCCTCTGCACACACACACACACGGTCCTGGGGGGAGCTGGGGGTTAACAGCTGGGCTGTGGGGGTGGTCTACCACCTAAGCAGGGGGACCAAAGGGAGGTGGCTGCTTCCCCTGCAAACCAGTACCCCATGGGCTG